TGTGTGTGTGTTTATGTGCACACATGCATGTGTGTGCCTCTCTGCACATGTGTGCGTAAGTACACGTGTGTGTGCTTTAGGAAGGAGAAGGATGCGCAGTTTATGTTCAGTAGCGCTGGAGGAGTCTGAGACTCAGCAGAGAGTAAATGTTCCACCAGGCAGAGCCAGTACTGCCAAGGGGTGCTGCCTCTGTCCTAGCTTCACTTCCTGGGTCCTGGAACCTACAGGGACACAGGCTGTGGCTGCTCTGCCCCAAGTCAGTCCCAATGGGGCTGTCCAGGCCCTGGATTCTGAGCTCCAGGCAGCTGCTGGGAGCTCTGAGCTCAGAATCTGCAGGCTCAGACCTCTATGGGTCTCCAGAGTTCTGAAAACCAGCCCCTCCCCACCTGGAGGCTCAGGTCAGAGGAACCCTGATCCTGCAAGAAAGGCCAATTCCATGTGAGAGAGGTGACAGTGGTGGCATTCTGACATCTGCAGGACGCACAGGCGGCATTTAGAGGTCAGGTGGTCTTGCTCTGCTAGAATACCTTCTACCAAATCCCTCCTGAGTGGCCGGCCAGTCCCTATTTAGATACTCCCAGTGACAGGGAGCTCATTACCTACAGGACAGCGCTCTCTTCTGTGGGAGAACAGCTCAAATGAGTAGATTTTTAGGTTCTTATTCAGAGGAAACCTGCTTCCCTGCCACGGGTTCTGGTTCTGTCCATGGGAGAGTGAGACCGACTGGTACAGAAGAGTAATTAGAAATAGGTGCGGGACTGTGGGCCTGGACACTTCCTAGCTGTGTAACTATGGACCACTCTGAGCAGGTTTCCTCATCCATGAAATGGGGATAATAAAAAAGCCTACTTCCCGGGATTGTTGTTAGGGTTAATTGACATAATGTATGACGGGTATACAACAGAATGCCTGGCACAGTGAAAATGGGCTATCGCTGTATCTGTTACTCCTAGTCTAATCCCTCGGCCATCAGTCTGTCTAGAGAGTTTGAGACAATGGCATCTTGGCCAAGAAGCCAGCCCAGCAATGACTTCCATCTTCCAAGCTTCCATTTCAGGCCTTAGCTGAGGAGTGGAAGTGGGGGTGGGGCGCCCCTGCAGCCCACTGCCCACACTCACCAGTGATGAGGTTGTCCACGAGGGTGGTGGGCATGCAGAAGATGCCCACCAGCAGGTCGCTGACGGCCAGGTTGAGGATGAACATGTTGGTGACTGTGCGCATGTGCCGGTTCTTGAGCACGATGAAGCAAACCAGGGCGTTGCCCACCATGCAGAGGAGGAAGATGAGTGCGTAGGCCACGATGAACATGGCCGCCACAGGGGAGGAGTGCTGGTAGTAGGAGGAGAAGGTGAGGTTCACAGCCGGGGCGGCCTCAGTGTCGCTCCCATTCTGACTCGGGGGCCAGCTGCCGTTGGGAGGCTGGGAGGGCTCCGCTAGGACCAAAAGAGCATATGGGTCAGGACCCTGGGCCAAGAAGAGATGACTGACTTCTCACCACTGGTGAGACCGTTCCTGTGCCAAACGCTGACCACGCACTGATCCAAGACTTTCTGCCCACAACCACTCAAGCCCTGATCTCTTACCTCACACCCCATCTTGTCCATGACTCATTCCCCAATGTTGGTGGTTCTCCATTAACCACACACCACCCCCCATCGAGGCTCCATCCTTCTCGGCCCTGCTCTGTGCCCCAGAGGCTGCCCTCTGAGAACTGCGTGACCCAGCTTCCCTTGCCCTCCGGCCCCTGGCTGAGTTCAGCCAATGGGAGGCATGGAAGGAGACGGCAGGGCAGGAGAGAGGGGTCTGGGTATTTGTCTGCTGACTCCCTCCCTGCCTGCCCAATTCTGCCAGCACCTGTTTTTTTCTGTGGCCACCACTCGCTCCCATTGGGTGACTCCTCCTCCACGGCTATAGCCCTTGCCAGGCTGCAGTAGTGCTGCTCCTTCTCCTTGCACCCACAGGCCTGCAGGTGGTAACAGCTTCCTGTGGTTGCTAGTCCCTGGGTGCTCCCGCACTTCTTGCTAGATCTCTCACCCCTCATCTCAACTCTGTAAAGCTTTCCATTAAACTCTCTTCATTTAAACCCTTTCTGAGTGCACCGCCTGTTTTCTTCTGGGATCCTGCTGTTACACCCTCAAAATCTTTGGCGCCCCTCCTCCTCATCTCCTTTACGGAATTTGGTCGGGAAAGGCCAGAAGGCAGTAGAGAAAGGGAGGGTGAGAGGGGAATGTGGACCAGGGCCGGGGAGCAAAGGCACAGCGCATTCACCAGAACATCCAAAGCCAAGGCTGCAGCCCATCCTTCTTGGCCTCTCGTCTTCGTGATCAGCTGCTCCCTCTGGGCAGCACTGAACAAAGCATTTTCATATCTAATATTTTATTCAACTTTCCGAGCCACCCATGATGTAAGCAGTCAGGTATTAGCCTCATTTGAAATGGGGACCAGAAGGTTTCCGTAACTTGCTCGAGGTCCTACAACCGCTATGCAGCGGAGTCGGCCCTGCTCTGTGTGTCTCTGAATCGGGACCAGCTTTAGTGTTTTGAAGGGAGGGCTCAGTGTCCAACCACATCTCTTCTGGGAAGTCATTAGTTGGGGTGACTCATGATGTTGTCTCATAAACTCTCCTCCTGCCTACCTCTGGGACTGAACGTGGCCTGTCCCAGGGGATGAAGAGTCTCTCGGGGGGGGGTCTTTCTGTTGTACCAGAGCTCAGCCACTGGCCTGGAGGCTTGGGATCTGGAGGCTAGAGAACCCTGGGGGGAGCAGGGCTGATGAGCTGGCACCACCTGGTGCAGCAGCGGACACTCTGTGGGGGGCAGAGGGGCTGCCAGGGGAGGTGGAGACGCAGAAACTTCCTGTGCCTAGTGAGAGGAGATGACACTCCCCTGCTGAGGCCTTCCAAGGGCTTCCAATCGCACTCAAACGTCTTTATTTTAATATGGCAGGTGTCAAACATGTATAAGAGAGAATATCATAGTGAACCTATATGAGTATAACGTTTAGCGAACCGTTAATAGAGAGAATAGTACAAAGAAGCCCCACATATACATCGTGTACTTTCAACAATTATCAACTCAAGGCACGGAGTTGTTTCATCCATACCCCCACCCCTCTTTGCATTATTTTGAAGCAAATACTAGACATTACTTCCTTTCATCCACAAAAATTTCAGTTTGTATCTCTAAAAAATAAGGACTCCAAAACAACAAATCAAAAAACTGTGATCGTGTCATCATCGAACCAAACAAAATCAACAATTATGTCATAATATTATCAAATATCTAGCATCCAGCATTCAAAATTCTGTTTCATAATTTTTTAAGGAGTTGGTTTGTTTAAATGAGAATCCAAACAAAATTCCCATTTCTATTAACTCTTATGATACAGCAAACCACCCCAAAATACAGCAGCGTGGCACCATGGCCTGGCAATCTAGGTCATGCTTCTGCAGGTCTCTCTTGGGATCACTTTTGCAGCTGCCGTCATCTGCTGGCTCGCCCGGGCTGGAAGGTCCAGGATGCCCCACCCATGGCTGGTGATTAGCACTGGCGACTGGCTGGGGTGTCTCAGTTTTCTCTCGTGTGGCCTCTCATCCTCTAGGAGACTAGACTGGGCTTCTTCAGAGACTGGTGGTCTCAAGTTTCCAAGAGAGCAAAGGCAGAAGCCACAGCCTTCTTAAGACCTGAGCTCTGGAATTTTCACAGCTTCACTTCTGCCACATTCTATGGCCAAAGCAAGTTGCAGGGACAGCCTGGATCCAAGCCAGTGGAGAAATAGTTTCACGTTTTGATAGGAAGAACAGCAACATGACATTGCAAAAGGGGTGTGGACGTAGAAGTGTGATTCATTACGGTCCATTATTATAAAATCTACCTCCATACCAATATTGCACTTGGTGGGCGTGGCTCTCAGTTTTCGTAGTTTACAGATTCCCCCACCGTCTCTTTCCCCTCTGCAGTCTATTGTCACATAGACTGGATCATTGGTCTGCAGAGTTTCCTGCAGACTGGATTTTGCTGATTGCTCCTTCATGATGTCCTTTTACACGTTCTGCTCTCTGTCCCCTGTAGTTAGATCTAGAGGCTGGATCAGATTCTGTCTGGTGGTCTCTCTCTTTGCGGTGCTAAGACTGATCAGTGGGCTCAGGTGATGTCAGCCTGATCCTCCGCTGTCATGATCCCCATCAGCTTTTGACCTAATTTTTTCAGCAGCCACTAATGATCATTGCCCTAGACCCCTCATTGCGTTTTAAATACAATCCATGCTTTTCCCCATGGCCTGCAAAACGCTGCATGGTCTCGTCCCTGTTAAAATCTCTCTGGCCTCATCCAGTGCTACTCTCCCCTTTGCCCATCACGCTCTGGCCACTTTGCCATCCTCTTGGCTCTTGCTTCTTTCAACCCCAGGGCCTTTGCTCTCCCCCTCCTTTAGCTCTCAGTGTACTGTGGTCTTCCCATAGAAGCCCAACCTGATTACTACCTATATAGTAGGTGCCTCACTATTATCTCTCACAGCATCCTGTTTATGTTCTTTAATCTGTCAATATTTTATTTGTTTCCAAGTTTATTGTCTTTTTCCCCACGCTTGAAAGTGAGCTCCCAGAGAGCGGGGGCCTTGTCTTCCCTGTCTTATTGGGGGCAGTGTCCCCAGCATCTTGTCAGTGCCTGTCCAAAGTAAACGGCTCAACAATCAGTGGTTATGGAATGAATAAATATTTGTAGGAAGGAGAAAAGGAAGGAAGGCGGATCCTGACACCAGGTGACAGGTCCAGCTCCACGGAGGCAGTGCTGCTGCTGGAAGGCCTTCCCAGGCCCCTCCGGAAGAACACCCAAAGGACGCTTCACTCATTACAGTGCCTGGAGGGAGACTTCCCAGGCAGCTGAGCCTCAAAATCAACTCTGAGTCAGCTCCCATGTCTGGGGGAATCTGTGGGTGTGGATGGGCAGAGGAAATTTCCAGAACCTTTCAGGCTAGACTCCAGTCTGTTTTCCCTACTGCCCTTCACTTGGCCCTCAAGTGAGTTCATATTCCAAAGCCTGTCACTGGGAAGTGTCTGGGAGTGACCCTGCCCATTTCAAGAGCCTCAGCTGAGCCTGAGCATCCGGCTCTAGGCTTAGCCCAGGTTTCAGCACTACACACGAATCCTTTCTGGAGGAGGAAAACTTCGTATCCCTGGCAATTCCCCCGGACTGGAAGCAGGCCGTCCTCCCACCACCCATGGGCTCCATGCCAACAGCCAGAGACTCACTGACACCTTAGACTTGCCCTTTCTGGTATCTGCCAGGTGCCCTTGCGGTTACATCCTGTGAAATTTCCATCTGCTGAACCCAATGAAGCCATTCCCCTCCTGGGGGAGCCTCCCGGAGGTCTTCGGATGTAACAATGGTTGTCTCCAGGGTGCTCTGAGGATCTCAGAGATCAAGCTCTGGGCCACGAAAAGCCCGGGGCGGGAGAGAAGATGGGGGTGCAGTGGTTCTCCAAGTGGGGTCCTTGACCAGAAGCATCAGCATCCCCTGGAACTTGTTAGAAACAGAAATTCTTGGGCCTCCTCCCTGACCTTGGGAACCAGAAACCCGAGGGGGCTGTGGCCAGCTCTCTCTGTTTTAAATTTTAAAGCACGCTCCAGATGATTCCTGGGCACACTCCAGTTTCAGAACCGCAGAACTAAAGGACTTGCCCCAAAGACCTGGGCATAAGGCGCGGCCTGGCAAGTCCCAGCCGTCCTTCCCGCCTCCTCGCCTCTGTGGGAACTCGGTTTTCTCATCTTTGAAACAGAAACACAAATATTTCCTGGGTAGGGTAGGTCACGTCGTCTCTCTGGAAACCAGACTCCTCGTTGGTAAAATGGAGCCGCGTTAGCACCGACCGAGGAGGGGTGTGGCGAGGTTGGGGGACGGTGTGTCCAAGGCACTCTGCGGGAGTCCGTGTAGCAGCAGCAGCACCGACAGTGTGAAATTGCACAATGGCTGTGAGCGTGACAGTTTATAATACTCTTAGTTTGGGCCCCCGCACAAGCCTGAAAGACGTGTGAGAGAGAACACAACCCCACGAGGAACGCGCTTAGCCAGCATGGGTCTGGGCGTTTCCCTGCCTCGCAGGCCTCCCGCTAAGAGCTTCGTCGACCGCGCCACCTGCTGGTTCGTTCTGGTAAGACACGGGAGCGCGGCCACTTCCCGAGCGCCCACCGGGACACGGGCCTGCATCTGAAGAGCACTGCAGGAGCGCTGCCAGGTGCACAAAGCACAAAGCAGGACAAATGGCTATGAACCACACGAAACAAAAAGTCCAAGTTCATGTCTAACCTAAGAAATGCAATTTTAAAAGAACGTCGGGGTAATTTTTTCATCAATCAGATTGGCAAAGATGCTGGGTGAGCCAAAACCCTGGGTGCCCACTACTCCCCACAAGTGTGTGTCAAACATCCGAGTGCTCTTTTTAGGAGGGGATCCAACGCTTTTGAAGACTTTTCCCTTGGGGAGTCAGGCCTCCTCCTTGCATGCAGCTTTTGAGGGACTGTCAATCAGGTGTCTGCACCCACCCCTGGCCAAAGGACAGCCAATCAGACCTCTTCTGCTTTGAATTCGCCTCTGGGTCCTAGTAAGGTGGAGGGGGCGCAGCTTTTCCTTCCTTTTGACGACCTGCCCACACCCTTCCAATAGACCCCCATTGTTGGTTAAGTTAGCAGCACCAGTTTCTGTTGCTTGTAACCGTAAAGTTAATCATCCTAGGAGCCTGCAGAGTCCGTGTTCAGAACCCCAGGGACAGTGGAAAGGGTAGGGTTGGGCAGGGGTAGCACCACAGACCCTCAAGCTTTCTGCTCACCAGTACACATGCTGCCTCTTAACAGGCCATGTGATCTTGCGCAGGGACCGTGCTGTTGCGGAGAGGGAAGGATACTGACCTAGGAATCAGGAAGCCTGGCCTTGAGAGTTGGCCCAGTGATGGTCACTCACTACATATAAGAGGGGCTGTGGGGTGGGCCAGTTGGTTTGAAATAGAAGCTTGGGAACTTGTCTTAAAGCTACTTCATACAGTTTGAAAAGAGAGGTATATTTGGTTTGGGGTGGCTTGGGAACCCATGATAGAGGACCCTAAGCCCCATGCCACCTCTTGGTACTCCCCTGTGAACTGGGGAGATCTACTTCATCCTTGAGTCCTCCTTGGCTTTCAAATGTAGATGACCAGGGCTTCTTGCCTCTTCCCACCCCATGGGGTTGTCACCAGGCTCACAGAGATATCAGAGTAAATTACAAAGGGCTCCAAAGCCCTGCAGGCTCCTTCTTGACTGCGTTAGCTATCTTCCAGGCAGCTGTGGGGGACCAAGGGGTCACAATGAGGTTCCAGTTCCCAGTTCCCTTGGGTTTGTTCTCAAGGAAGCAAGCCTGGGCGAAGCCTTTGTTAGCACTGCTCAGGACCATGAAAAGTAGATGTGCAGGGAGATCTACGAGGAAGGAGGCTTTCTGAGACCTGCAGCCTCCTACTGCTCCTCCTGCAGGCTGAGCCAAAGCCCACCCCATCTCAGGCGCCCACCACAGCAACATGGATTTTGCAAGCCTGGCCCCTTCTGGGTGAGTAAGAACAGGCAGACCTTCCAAGAATAATTTGGATTGGCAAAGGCCAAAAATTTGAGGGCAGAATTCCTGGGGCAGCCAACAGCAGCCCCCAAACAAGCCCCTTTTTATACTTTCCCTTCTTCTACTCTGAGGCCTTTTTATTTCTCCTTGTTTCCTCTTGGGGCTCTCTGGTTTTACCCATCAAAACCTGTATTCAGGAAAGTTTCTGATATAAGTCATTTACCTCTCAGTGAAAACTGAACTACCTTTATCACACATTAAGCCTCTACTCTGAGTCCTCTTAAAGGAATTCCAGGCCTTAAAAAGAGAGGGTAGAAGAGGCTTAAGGGGGAAGGGAAGAATTAAGGAAAGGGATTAAGGGATTTTACTCTTTCTTGCTTTTAGTAAGGCTAAACATATGCCCTGAAGCTCCCTTTCTAGATTCTATGGCTGTCTGCTCCCTCAGGGTCTGCCTGTTTAGTGTACCTGCAGTGCTGGTCACATTTCACTTCCTGTTTCATCTGAACAGAGTTTCTTTACCTCCCACTAAGCCAGAAACACTTTAGGGGCAGAAGCCATGCCTAGTTCAGCTTGAAATATTTCCCACCATCTGGCACAGGGCCTAGAATATATAGACAATTAATGAATGTTGACAACTAATTTTGATACTAAAGGCTATGAATTTTCCTCTAAGCACTACTTTACCTGTATCCCATAGGCTTTGATAGATACCGTTTCCATTATTGTTGAAATATATTTCATACAACATCAAGCTATCTTTGACAAGGAAAGGAGAATTATTTTCATTTCACAGGAAAATCAAAATTCAAAGCTCAAAGACAAAGATGCTTACTCTCAGAATATAGGGTGCAGTAGTGGTGGATCTCCAGGTTTTGCTTGACTCCAGGATTCTGGGTCCATCAAATAAGACAGGAGACCTGGTCTGAGTTTGAGCCCCCAGGCTGGCTCTGCCACCTCCAACCATTTTCTCATCCTCTCTGGGTATCATGAGGTCACCTGTAAAGACCTCCAGTGTCCATTAGCAGCAACTAGGGACCCTTGGTTTGGGGGAGACCTTGTCTCCCTGAGGCTCCAGCCACAAGGCTGACATCATGAATATTGTATGTATCACTAAAATCTTGCCTGAAGAAGCAGGCACACAGTGGGCAGAGGCTGAACCAGGGTTGCCCTGGGCTCAACTGAGGAGTAATGGACGAGGACACCTAACCCCTTTGAGATTCATTCCTCCTCCACCCAATACTTCCCAACAAGGCTTCACCACCCAGAGTCCCAGTGTGTTTGTCACAAGTTACTTATGTTCTCTCTCTCCCCATCCCAAGAAGGATTTTCTTTTAGAAAAGATTCTGATGAACTTGTTCACATGGATGAGGAAATGACTCATAACAAAGTGCTGTGTCTCTTTTGGGTGTTTTCATTTCCAAAGGAGTCAGACTTTAGGTCAAAAACAGCAAAGCTCTAATGATACAATTTCAATTATTAATGAGAGAGTAGCAAAAAGCTTTTGAGAAAGAGAGACTGAAGTTAATTATTTTATATTTTTATTTTAAATAGATCTGGTACAAATTAGTGATGTTATCAATTCTATTCACTGTGCCTTGGTTTTCTCATTTGTAAAATCAGAGTTGAGCAGCTGCTTATGCAAGCCTCTCCTGGCTCTAATAGCCTGGGTTTTTTGCAACAGAATGGACCACACAATGATTGGAGCAGAAATACTCATTGTAAGTATAGCTCCTCACTCACTGCTGGAAGCAGGACAGACTGCCTTCGGATAGACCATGCCCCAGTGAGAACCAGACCTGCACGTACCTGGCCTCTGCCTCCCAAGCAGCAGCTGAGACCCCTCCCATTCCTCACTCCTAGCAAGACAGGAACGTGCTAAAGGTCTTCAGGACAAGGATGGGTAGCTGGACTCCATGGAGGCTGCGTCCCCACAGTATTCCCAGAATCTAGGCCATTTGTGCAGAAAGAACAAGCAGACATATCTATAAGCTGTGCCTCCTGGGCCTCAGTTTTATTATCTGTTAAATGGGGGTGATGCTGTTTGCCTGCCCACCTCCCAGGCTGGTTGGGTGGCTCCAGCGTGATGAAATGCTTTGTGACAAAGGACAGGCACAGCGACTCTGGCAGCACCATTTCCAAGGTGCATGGAAAAGCAGCACCCACCTGGACCTCCAAGATGCTACCGTGTCTTGTGCTGGAGAGACTGCAGCTGACTTGCTCCTCTCTCCTCTCTTTCCAGTGACTTCCTTCCCCTGTATAGCCACTTCCTCATCGGTATGCCCACCTCCAGCCAGTGTGGACATACATGCTCCCAGCCTACGGCGTCTCAGCCACGGAGCTCCCAGGCTGGGTTGACAGCTGTGGAGGCCACCAGGGGCTCCCAGGAAGCCACTAGACTGGGGTCGGGCTGGGATTGGGATGAGGAGTGGATCTGATTTGCTGTCCTTCTGCTGACTTGTCCCCCAGCATAACATCACAGTCAAGGCCCAGTGGGGAAGGCGAATGGTGTTCCTGCCCCGCTGGACCTGTCAGTTCTGTAGGGGGGCTTGGCAGACTGCAGTGTCTCTCTCTAGGTGTTGGGAAAGGGCTTCTGGGCCCTCAAAGATTCCCCCGACCGCAGGCCATAGTTTTGGTCCAGCCACCCAAGAATTTCCCCTTCTGCCCCCCCAGTCAGTAATGAGACCTGTCAGCCCCCCTCGCTCAAGCTGGATCATGGGAACCGGTAAGGAGACAGATTCTAGGCCGTCTCTGAGTGATAGAAAGTTCTTCCTGATGTTGAGTTGAATTGCACCCATTGGTCCCATTTCTGCTCCCTGGAGCCAAATAGAACAAGAGTGAGCCCCTGTCCCCAGAATCACCCCCTCTCCCTGCCTTTTTCTCACCTCAGCATCCCAGGGTATCCAGCGAGAGGGGCTCCAGTCCTATCTCATCATCAGCCCGTTTTGACCCCCCACCCCCCAGTAACTTTCCTTAAGAATACAAGCCAGATCTCCTCTATCTGAAATATATGCCATTGATTTTTTTGGACCTAAATTCAGGAGTTTACATTTTATTTACATTTACATTTCATTTTCTTGGTTTCAATCCAGCATTCCAGTATATGGAGATAACCTTAAATCTTGAATCTGGTAGTGCGATAGCTCCTATCCACAGGTTTGACAAGCGTGTCTCTTGCTTTCCCCCTAGATTATTAATTCGCATCATGTCAGGGGCAGAGTCCTAGGGATCCCTAGGCTGCTGCTACCAAGCCTTTAATGAGACGCCGTGTCAGTCCTCCGCCATCCTTCCCACGGCTCTCCGCCAATGCACGCGGTTTTCATGAGAGATCTTGGCAGCATCCTGCTGAACTGTTGTAATTCATCTTTTTTCCTCTCAGAAACCCAGTGTAAAGGAGGAAATTTGATAAGTTTAACCTGATTTGTTCTTTTATTTGTTTTGGAAGTATTATTTATTGTAAAACTTACAAGCTTTGTGAATAGCGATGTAAAATCAACAGCTGGATGGAGTTACAGAATCATCTACCAACCAGTCCTATCTGATGAACAATTGTTCCAAATGCATTGATTTGATTTTTATCTTTTATTCTTTTGGGATTTAAAAAAGAGTTTTTTAATTTTCTATTGTAAAGGGATGATTTGTAATTGTATACATTTATGACATACAATGTTATCATTTATGAATACAATGTGGAATAATTAAATCAAGCTAGCCAACATATCCATCACCTCAAATACTTAATATTTTTGTGGTGAGAACATCTGACATTTACTGTGTTAGCTATTTTGAAATGTACAGTACTCTATTATTTACTAAACTATATTTGCCATGCTGTGCAATAGAACACACACACAAGAAGAAAGAACACAAGAAAAGAAAACATATTCTCTGGCCATCATCTCCCCATTACTCCTCCCGCCCAGCCTCTGTAACTACCATTCACTGTCTGCTTCTGTGGGTTTGATTGTTAGAGATTCCACATAATGTCAGAACATGCTGCATCGCCTCTCTGTGCCTGGCTTATTTCACTTAGCATAATGTTCTCCAATTCTGTCCATGTTGTTGCAGATAACAGAATTCTGGTTGTTTTTTTAAGGCTGAATAGTATTCCACTGGGCACACAAACCACGTGTTCTTTATCCCTTCATCGGCTGATGGACACTTAGCTTGACTCCATAACTTGGCTCTTGTGGATAATGCCTCAGTGAATATGGGGGTGCAGACATCTCTTCAAGAAACTAATTTCAAATTTTGGGGTAAGTGGAATTGCTAGATCATATGGTCCTTCTATTTTTAGGTTTTTGAGGAACCTCCAAACCATTTTCTATGATGGCTATACTCATTTAAATTCCCACCAATAGTGTACAAGGATTCCCTCTTCTCCGTATCCTTGCCAACACTTATCTTTCATCTTTTTGATAAAAGCCATTATGGCAGGTGTGAGATAATGTCTCATTGTGGTTTTAATTTGCATTTCCCTAATGATTAGTGATGCTGAGCATTTTTTCCTATATCTGTTGGCTATTTGTATGTCTTCTTTTGAGAAATGTCTATTCAGGTCCCTTGCCCATTTTTTTTTTTGAGACAGAGTCTCACTGTGTTGCCCGGGCTAGAGTGCCATGGCGTCATCCTAGCTCACAGCAACCTCAAACTCCTGGGCTCAAGCGATCCTTCTGCCTCAGCCTCCTTAGTAGCTGGGACTGCAGGCATGCGCCACCATGCCCGGCTAATTTTTTCTATATATTTTTAGTTGTCCGATTAATTTCTTACTATTTTTAGTAGAGACGGGGTCTCGCTCTTGCTCAGGCTGGTTTCGAACTCCTGAGCCCAAACAATCTGCCCGCCTCGGCCTCCTAGAGAGCTAGGATTACAGGCGTGAGCCACCGTGCCTGGCCCCCTTGCCCATTTTTAAATTGGGTTTTTTGTTTTCTTGCTATTGAGTTGTTTGAACACCTTGATTTATTCTTAGTGAGTATTAACATACGCTCCTAATGAATACTACATTATTTGTTTCTTTCTGAAGACTCTTTTTTGTTTTGTTTTTATAAGAAAAGGTGTTATTATAAAACAGTTCTGAGCACTACAAAAGAGAGAGTAAGCAGCACAGAAATCTCACACCCAGAGACAACCCCTGTGGCTGATGTATTTGTCATGCTCCCTGCCTGCCATATGCCCTCGGCCCAAAGATTTCCGCTGGGGTAGACAGTTCCTTGCACTTCCAGAGCCCATCAAGGCTGCACACCCAGCGGTCTCTTGCTTTCCTTTCTCTGGAGCCACAAACAGAAACAACCTAGAACTGCAGGAGTGGAGAAACACTCAACCAGTGGGGAGGGACAAACAGCAGTCAGCGCCGCATCTCATGTGAGGCAAATCTCGGGTTCACGCTGCACTTTTCTCAGAGGGTCCCCAGCAGGATAGAACCCCCCCCCTTGCCCACAGCTAAAACTAGCCCATTAATGCACCCAATTCTTGCTTTCTTTCCCACCCCTATCTCACATTCCTCATTCCCTCATTTCGGCTTCCTGGCATCACCTCCCTAATAATATACTCCCTAAACCCAAGTCCTTGTCTTAGGGTATGCTTTCAGAAGCAGGAGAATCCAAAAATGTTAGTGACCATCTCATTGAGAGATATATATCTCAATGATAAACCCATGTAATTTTGCATAAAGAGGCTCATACTACATATATGTTCAAAAACCTTTTTTATTATTCACTGTGGGCAGTGAACATATTTCCATGCCAATAAATCAAATCCTAAGCACACTTTTTAATGTCTGCACAGCATGCCACTGCAGGTGTGTCTCATCTTTGATTTAATTTGCTTAATCTACGGACATCCAGATGGTTTCAGTCGTGCACTATGCAGGCGTGCAGGTGGCCCCCTTTGAAAAAATTCTGAGATGTGTGATTGCTTTTTTGTTTCCTAAGTGTGCACTGTGTGTTTGATCATTTCTTCTGGAGTTTTCATAGCAGTCAATACTAATCTGAGCAGTTTAGAGGCTTGTAAGAAATCTATCTTTCCTCCCGTTTTGAAAATCAGGACATTTGCCCATCTTCAGTTTCCTAGCACCTCCGTCACTCTCTGTAATTTCCTCTAAGGCAATGATTACATCTGCAAATACCTCCCAGTCCCTGGGATGTCATTTGTTTGGGCTTCAGTGGGCGAGCTCATTGAAGGTGGCTCATCCCTCTTTCTATCATTCGCCTATCTTGGGTCTCAATTTCCTCCCTATGCTCTTTATTTCACAATTTGAAGTAAAATTGCCTGTGCCCCACTCTGCTCGCCCTCGAGCCCCAAGCCTGAGCAGCTTCCTTCTTGTCTTCCTTACTTAGACTCTGAAAGCTCTTTGCTCTGTCTTTGCCAGTTTTCCCCTGCTCTGTTCACTGGAGCGTCAGTGCTTTGCTAACACTATTCTTGCAGACCCTGCCAATCTTCCAGATGCCTCTTGGGGTTATGCATTCCTCCTTGCATCTTTTGTGTGTGTGCTTTTCAAACCCTCGCTCGTTGCAAAGCTACAAGTGCAATCCTCCAAGATTTTCTACAAAACTCCCTCTTCTTTCTTGACAGCGGTGTTTGCAATTATTGGAATTTCAGGGTTTTATTATCTCTTACAGCAGCTTTCTCACACTGGCGTGAATTTGTACGACACATCTTGTCTTATTTTATCCTCACAGATATGCTGTGAGCCAGTTGAACATAAGTTCATCCGTCCAACAGATGGGTAACCAGTGGCACAGCAAGGTTCAGGCACCATCTCAAAGACGCCCAGCAAGCCAGTGGACCAGCCCTCAGCACTCCACTTTCTTAGCCTAAATATAGTTCCCCTTGCCCACAATGGCTGAGATAGGGGTCCGCCCCCCACCCCCATAAGATTGGAGCAAGCAGCCTTATGCCTTTGGCCACTATCCCTTAAAGTCCTGGAGGTTAGGGCCATAGTTCCTCCTTTCCCCAGGGAGAGAAATCTCTGCATGGAGGAGATCTCTAGAATTCCATCGTTCCCACTACCCCCACCCCTTCAAGTAGGCAAAATCGTGACAGTTCCTCTAAAGCTAATAGCCAACTGTCCTTGCCTGGTCTCCAGTGATCCTCTGCTCAGACATCAGGGACTGTGTGGGTGCACATTCCCAGGGCATGGACATAGGGGTACCCCCAGATCTTTCTGTCTCCCTCTCTGTCCCTGTTTCTGTCTCTGTCTCTGTCTCTCTCTCTTCGTCTCTCTCTCACACACACACACTCATAACATGGCCATAGAGACGCCCCCAGGTCTTCCTCTCTCCCTCTCTCAGTGTCTCCCGGTCTCTGTCACACACACGGAGTGTCACAGTGTCTGATTCTGGACAGCCATCGGTGATCAGCTGCCCCAGCCCCTTTCCTCTCCCTTGGCCCGCTGCCCCTGACTCAGTACCCCACCCCGCCGCCATCCCCAGTCCCGGGGTCACTCACCCTCCATGCTGCCCACTCTTGCCGGCTCCGGGACAGTCTCCGGGCCTCTTGGGTGGCAGGGGCGGAGGGGCGGTCTCCCGGCACTTGCTGGCCAGCCAGCGCCCCTGCCTCTGAGCTCCGCGGGTCGGTGCTGCCCCGCAGACTCGGGCGGGGGGTCGTGCGCTCCAGGCCCCAGCCCCTGGCCGGCTCTCTCTGCCTTCGGTCCGAGTCAGCCTCCGGCGGCCGGGCTGAGGCTCCCGCGCAGCGCAGCTGTCCTCTCGCCTCTGCCGCCCGCCCCGCGCCGCCGGCCGGAGGGAGGGAGGGGGCTCCCGGCGCAGTCGTCATGGCACTCGGCACACCTGTGCCCGCCGAGCGAGGGCGCCCTGGCCCGCCTCCCTCCTGGCACTCTCCGCAGGGACGAACACCCCTCCAAAGTAGGGGACACCCCGCCGCACACTGCAGCCCTGGCCGCCACGTCCAGTAAGTCCGTGCCTCACTCCTGTGCCCCACATCCCAGCCTCTGTCCCCACTCCTCATCGTTGCCCAGCCCAGCCTGCCCCCCAGCCCCCCAACCTGGTGTCCAGGCCCCTGGCCTTCCTGAGAAGAGGAAGAGAGGTAGCTGTGAATACACAGGAGGGCCACAGGTCAGCTGTGAGCTCTCCCAGGACAATGGGGCGAGGTGTCTGGTACATGGAATTAACCAGCTCAGGCACTTACCAGATGTTTACCCTTGGGCAAGAGCCTTACCCCAACCTGAGTCTCAGCTTCTGCATCTGTAAAATGGGGTTTGTTTGTTTTGTTTTTGTTTTGTTTTGAGACAAGAGTCTTTGTCTGTTACCTGGGCTATAGTGCAGTGTCCTCATCATAGCTCACAGCAACCTCAAACTCTTGGGCTCAAGCGATCCTCCTGCCTCAGCCTCCAGAGTAGCTGGGACTGCAGGCATGCGCCACCACAGGGCTAATTACTCTATACTTTGTATACACTATGTGTATAATGGTGTTAAGGGGAGTAAATGTGATGATGTCACACTTTCTGCCCAGCACATAATAGATGCTCAACAAATGGTCCCTTGAGCTGATTAGACTCCATACACCTCCCACCATCTCTAGGCCCTGTCAGGCACCCAACAGACACCACCATAGATTTTTGTCTCATGAACGAAGACCCCAGGTTCTAGCCAGATGAAAGAAAGTGGACAGTCCATTCTTTCCTTTACTGGGAGTCAGGGTTTTGTTCTGGGGCTCTGGGCAAATGGATCACATCAGGCTTCCTCCTAGGCTCGCTTCTCTCTCTAGTTCCTCCCTTGTCGTGAGCAGCTGGCAGATCTCAGAGCTCGAAGGGACTCGGAGGTCATTGAGTCTAATCTTGACCCAGGGCAGGTGTCCTGACCCCAATCCCTAGCATGGATACCTGTGTCCACGCAACCTTCTCTCTTCCCCCTGAGCAGAAGGAAGGGAGGCTGCCCCCTCAAGTCTGCCTTTCTGCCGGAGAAACACCTGAGTTTCATTGGGCTTTTTTGTTTCTGTGACTTTCCTCAGTTGCTTCATCTATAAAATGGGGACAATAATAGTATCTACCTCCTAGAATTATTGTGAAGATTAAAGGAGTTGCTATATGTAGAGCACTTGGAACAGCGTCTGACACAGTCTTCAATAAATATTATTCATATCATCGGTGTCTCGAGTCCAGCTTCCCGTGGAAGTGCTCCCGTTTCTTGAAGTCCCTGACAGTCGGAACCCAGAACTGTGACAGGTCATATCAAGCCTCCTTGACCCACGCAGAGTTTGCGGTGCTGTGAAGTCCGCACAGGCCAGCCTTGCCGTTTACTGTGTGTGCGGCTTTGAGAAAGTTGTATAACCTCTGCGTGCCTCAGTTTCCTCTCATCTACAAGATAGAGATAATAGTGCCTACCACGTAGGGTTGTTATGAAAGTTAATATGTGTAGTTAGTAAATGAGTTAATATATGAATTAAATGAGTTAATATATAGGTACTCAGTAAATATGACCTGTAATTACTGGGACCCTAGTCTTTGAATAATGCACTTTCACTTTTTCAGTTTTTTTCCTTCCTCCCTCCCTCCCTTTCTTCTTTCTTTAGCAGCCACATCATTCTAGTGGTCAGTTATCCCACCTCTTTTGTGTGTGAATAGTTGTAGATCTCAGAGCCTTTTTCTTCCTTCCCATCCTCTTCTACAGACATTTTTCTTCATCCACTGACATCTTTGTACAATGCCAAGTGCCCCTGGTACCATACAAAAGAAATTCAGTGGATCCAGCCCTGGAGAGCAGGCAGGGCAGTGCCACGGATAGAAAGGATGGGGTGTGAATTCTGCCTCCACCATTTATTATCTGTGGGACCCAGGGTAAGTCACTTAAGCCCTCTAACCTCATTTCCCCATCTGTAAAATGGGATTTGTGATGCTTCTTCTCAAGGCCGCTGTGTGGGTTAAAATCACATGCCATGGAACATAGCGCCCTTCCTCATTGCCAGAGTTATGGGTGGATGTCAAACAGATAGATTGGGTAAAAGTCTCCCTGTGCAGATAAAAGTGCCTCTTCTCCTTCTCTTCTTGTTATGGACTGAATTGTGTCTCCCCAAAATTGGTATGTTGACGCCCTAACCCCACAATGTGACTGTATTTGGAGATAGGGCCTTTAGGAAGTAATTAAGGTTAAATGAGGTCATAAGGGTGGGGCCCTAATCGTATAGGACTGGTGCCCTTTTAAGAAGAGGAAGAGGCTGGGTGTAGTGCCTCACGCCTGTAATCCTAGCACTTTGGGAGGCCAAGGCAGGATGATTGCTTGAGGCCAGGAGTTCAAGACCAGCCTGAGCAAGAATGAGACCCCATCTCTAGAAAAAAAAAAAAATAGAAGAATTAATCAGGCATCGTGGTGTGTACCTATAGTCCCAGCTACCTGGGAGGGAGGCTGAGCCAGGGGGATCGCTTGAGCCCAGGAGGTTGAGGTTGCAGTAAGATATGATCACACCACTGTACTTTAGCCCAGGCAACAGGGGAGACCCTGTCTCAGAAAAAAAGAGGAAGAGATACCAGGAATGTGCATGCACAGAAGAAAGGCCCCGTGAGGACACAGCAAGAGGGTGGCTGTCTGCAAGCCAAGGACAGAGGCCTCAGAAGAAACCAACCCTTTTGGCCCCTGATCTTGGACATCCAGACTCCAGAACTGTGAGAAAATAAATTTCTGTTGTTTAAGGCACCCAGTCTATGAAATTTTTTTTATGGCAGCCCCAGCAAACTAAGGTAGCTCCCTACCCCAAGGGAGCTCCCAGGCAACCCGAGGCACCATTATTCTCCATCTGATACTATGCCTTCCTCCCGGGTTCACCTGACTGCAGGGTTGGGGTCCTTCTCTGCCCTGAACCTTGAATCCAGAGCCCTTGGGTCAAACAAGGCATCGCTGCTCTTATTTTACAGATGAAGTCACTGAGGCTAATGCCTGACCAAATATGACACAGCTTATCAGTGGAAGAAAGAGGCCAAGACCCTCCCCTGGACTCCTTGGTCACTGGCCCTGCTGTGCCCCAGCCCAGCCTCCCCCCAAGTTTCTTGGCCTTCTGGGAGCATCTGAGAAATCTAAGGGTGCAGTCATCTGGGGTGTAGAGCAGTCCCTGTCCATCTTGACCAGGAAGGAGCCCCCCACGGCCTTGGCCTGCAGGGCTTCCAGCTCATCCATTCTGGCCAAGACCTTGGCCTGGATATTCATCCTCAGAGCAGCTGCTCCCCAGCCTTCCCCCAACAGCTACAGCGCGGCTCGTGTGCTGTGGTCCAGGGAGCCTTTTCACAGAAAGCCCCACCGTCCTGGAAACTGATTTCCATCTGGAAAGCTGCGTGCCAGGAGGTGGCAGGAGCAAAGTGGAATTGAGAAGGTCCTTGAAGGGGGAAAAGCCTCCTGTGCCAACCAGAGTCCATGTGGACACCTGCTTGAAGAAGCCTCTAAAAGGAGCAGGGAGGAAGTGGAGAGTGATCCTCTTAGACTCGAGTTTTCTGGGGGGCTGTGAGATCCGTCGAAGGGGACAATAGCATGACTGCAGGACTGCCTTTCTTCTTGGAGAAGACAAAACAGTACCTGATACCCTGAGGGAGAGAAGGTTTAATGGTTCGTAGTGACTTTGGAGAAACTGAGGCAGAGCAAAGCAATTTGGCTGAGGTCCAGAGCTGGCCAGTGGGCCGTGGGTTGGGCTGTGTGATGTTGTCATCTGGGAGTCAGGAGCCTCCTGTTCTAGAGCAAGCCCTGCGCGTTGCGTGACCTCGGGCAAGTTGCTCAACCTTTCTGAGCATCTCTGTGAAAAGGGAGGCAGCACTAGGATCAAATCATTTGGTGATCACCGATCTGGTCTCTGACTTTAGTGAATGCCACTCACATCTCTAGCTTCCAGTGGACGCAAACCTGAAAGTCCCACCTGTCCCAAATCAGCTCATCATCTCTCCTTTCCCCTGCTGGCCACTTCTCTGGCTGTGTTGTCCTTCCAGGGAAAGGCACCTGCCTGTACAATCTGGACATAAGCCAGGTGGCAAACTGAGGGACCAGACAGAATTCTGCCAATGCAGACGTGAAAGTGACCAGGTGTGGTCACTTGGGCACTCGTGGCCTGCTTCTGCCACCCTGCTCCAGAAGATCACTACTGTTGGAATGTTGGCCCAGTGTTGCCAGCTCTTCTGATTTTTCAGGAGAAGCCAGAAATCCGGATATTTTTCATAAAAAGATTTCAGCTCCCAATTATTTTTTGTGTGTGTGTCCAATGGTTTTTAATAAATTTACCAAGTTGTATTTTTTTTCAAATTACAAGAGTGCTACATGGTAATCTGTCAACATTAAAAAAAAATATGCAGCAACAAAGAAATAAAAACCGAAGCCTCTCCCTATTATTCTTCACCAAACTTCATTCCCCAGACATCCCAATTATTTTTAAACACTGTGCAGACCACACAAAATGTACCTATGGGCTGAATTTGGCTCAGAGCCCTCTTGCAACTTCTTAAATCTCTGGAGATCAGGGTTTCTCCATTCTGGCTGAACATTAGAATCACATGGGGGAGGTTTAAAAAAAATTACCAGCACCAGAACTCTAGGGCAGACCAACTGAAGCGTACTTGATTCAATGGGATCAGACCAATTCAATTGCATCTGTCTCTGGTAGGTTAGGGCCTGGGCGTCAGTGCTTCTTCAAAACTCTCCAGGTGATTCTGATGTGCAGGCAAGGTAAAGAGAGAATCACTGCTACAGCCCTCCTTGGCTTTCCCCCTTCCAGGAGGGTCCTGGCTTCGTAGAGCTCATGGCCAACTGTGGGAGACACGGATGAATGAGTGAGTGAATGAACGAATG